AGAGACTGGAGAGATTGATGACTGAGTGAGACCGAGGGCCTGACTGTGATAATATTTATGGGATCAGGCTGCACGTTGCAGCATGTTTTATTGATTTATGCTATGATTAGCTTATTATAGCGCTTGGGCTGAAGGAGTCCATCCGGATTCTGTACACCCCTAGTGAGTGTAGGTACCTACTGAGTGTATCGAGCGACTGGGAGAATTGAGTGGCTGTGAGGAATGAGTGACTGTTAGGTTGGAGTGAACGGGAGGATTGAGTGACTGTTACTCTGAGAATATGCACTTGATTTCATTACTATTTTTGCTTTAACCGATGTATATCACTATCATATAATTTCTAAGGGATACTATATCATGTTTCAATTGAACCTGACATGAATTAACTTTTTCGGCTTTAATTGTCGAACATGAAAACATGCCTATTTTCCTATATTGTAATTTGAGTAATTGAACCGTATCCATGAAGCCGGTCACTACTTTCAGTCCAGTAGTCAGTCTTGTTACTTACTGAGTTAGTTGTACTCACGCTAGACCCTGCACTTTGTGTGCAAATCCAGGTGTATCTGGACATAGTGGGTGTTGATTATTTGGGCAGCTTGATCATTCGAAGATTTCAAGGTAGCTGCCCCGGGCGTTCGCAGACCTTAACTCTCCTTCCCTATCTTTCAGCCTTATGTATTTAGTTCCAGTTTTTTCATAGATAGTATTTCCAGACGCTCATGTACTCAGTGACACCCTGGTTTTAGGAACTTCCGTATTGAGTTTTGATTTTCTATCCAGCTTATGAGACCTTTAATTATTTAAAACTGTTTTAGTTCATCTTTCATTTAAAAGTGTTAAAAATATTTTGCAATGTTTGCTTGCCTAGTACCACGTTAGGAGACATCACAACAGGCGAAGTTTGGGTCGTGACATTCCCAAATCAGTCAAGCTACAAGGATTATATACTATTTGCAACAAATTTATGCAGAGAAAAATAAAACTGCAATAACAAATAAGTATAAAAAAAAAAGAGTTTTACTGATAAATATTGCAGGTTACAACTCTATTTATCCCTTGATTATTCCCTCCAATTTATTCTATGTGATTCAAGGGCCTTGGAGACATATTTCTCGAACGTAAGACTTTAAGCAAAACATATTTCACATGTCTCTTAATGAATATTCCGAGAGTTTATGAAACTGCTGAGATCCTTTTTGAAGGACATATGTATCTTTATTTATAGGCATGAATTAGGGTTCGGGTGGAGTAGCCACCAAGTAAACCTAATAGACTTCTAATATTTCAAGAGTCGTCTTAAATTTAAGATTTATCTTGATCTATTAAAATTTCAGTGTCTACAAATGGCCCCTACTTCAAGGTTTGTTGAGGTGTAGGCTTGCTGAAACTTGAAGAAGAGACTTGAAGTACCCGACCATCACAAGAGGAAGAGATGAAGGGCATGACTGGTTCCGCTGGGCGTGCTAATTTGTTTGCAATAAATTAGAGAAAAATAAAACTACAATCACAAACAACCGTACGGAAAAAAGAATTTTATTGATAAACATTGCAGGTTATAACTCTTTTTATCCCTTGATTCTTCCCTCCAATTTATTCTACATGATTCGAAGGCCTTAACAACGTATTTCGCGAATGCAGGACTTTAGGCAAGACATATTTGACATATCTTTTATCTCTTAATGAATATTCCGAGAGTTCATGAAACTACTGAGATTCTCTTTGAAGGACATATGTAGCCCTATTTATAGGCAAACATTAGGGTTTGGGTGGAGTAGCCACCAAGTAACCCTAATAGACTCTTAATATTTCAAGAGTCTTCTTGAATTTATGAATTATCTTAATCTGTTAAAATTTCATTATCTACATATACATATCTGAAATCTCCCACCTATATATTGAAACTGATAGACCTCCATACCTCTCCTCCAATTCCATAATCATATTAGAACATTACCTAATAGCGAAAGAGCAACCATAACATTAAAAAGTGAATAAAAAGAATCCATAATCAATCCTCTCAACTGATGTACATTTAGCATAGACAAGAGTCACAATGAGCTCCTTGCCAAGCGTTGCCTTGCTATGTTTGATTGTTAGCTGTTGCTCCATATTAAATAGGAAAAATTACGTGACACATCAAATATTTATATTGTATTTTCATTCGTAGCTATACTTTTAGCAAATTTATCATTTGTAGCTATATTTGACTTTTATAGAAATTCATGAAATAAGAGATTAATTGTTCCAAACTAAAATTAGAGATCAATAAGCTCTTATAGCTCACTTGGTTAGAGCGCCCGCTTAGTTAACGAAGGTCTTGAGTTTGACTCTCAACAAAAATATTTTATTTTCCTATATTTCAATATTTTTCCTTGGTTGTATTCATTGTGCGAACAAATACAATCGATACATGTTGTATCTATTGTATACACCCATACATCTAGTCGATACAAGTTGTATAATTTGTATATACCCTTGTATTTCGCCTTGATTAGAGAATTGATACATATTGTATTCGTTACATAAATGAATATAATAGTGCAAACAAATACAATTGATACACATTGTAACGAATAGAGTTGACTTAGGTTGTATTCGTTACGCGTTTAAATACAAGTGATACAAGTTAGTAGCAATTAAATAGTAGTTATGTGTGCGCGGTGAAATCTGGGAGGCCAATTTCTCCTTCACAAAATGCTTCGAAGGGTGGTCCCGGAAGCCCGAGATCTCGAGCTAGTCACTTCCCTCAAGATCGGTCGGTGCCCTGCCAAGGATAATGTCGACCGAAGTCTCAACGAATATAGGAATGCACCCGGGGTTGATCAGGTCTATTCGAGTGGCTCTACATCAACCCGCACGTGCGTCATAAAGCTAGCCGGTTGTCACATCTCATTTCTTTTATCACGCAATGTATCTTGCACTAAGTTTGGGCTCCCCTTTCTATAAAAGAGGAGTCACTAACACCTTGTAAGGCAGAGCTCTAACAATTCTACTCAAGGGCAATAATATCTCTCTTTCTTTCTTCTCTCTAACTCGCTTGTTCTCACTAGCTCGACGCCATTTAGCATTTGTTGCCTTCTCACTTGTTCTTCATTTTATCGCTTGGTATTGGCCATAAAGAGCTTTATTTAATCATCTCTTAACTTTTATCCCATTCCCGATTGCCCCCGATAGCTCGCTCGACCCGAACATCGACCCCGAGATCCCTCATCGACCAGTCCTACATCCGGGCAACAGGCCCCTCGGTTTGACTATTGCCTCGTTTTAGCTTGCATTTCATCATTAAACTTCATATTTTTATCATCAACTGCTCTAAACAACTAGCTCGAGAATAGATCACATATTTTTAGAATCTCATTTACAAATTTAATTGTTGTTACCGTTTTCATGGTAAACAGTTTGGCGTCCACCGTGGGGCTAAAAATAATAGTGATTATTTTCTTGCCTGTTTCATTGCGCAAATGCACATTATCTTTCGCACTTTTCTTGTCCAAGATCCTTTGATTTCAGGTGAAAATGTCTGGCTCAGTAAATAGAGTCTAGAACGACAACCTCGAAAACCACGGGGAAAACGACGTAGCTGTCCTGGGCGCTGGAGCACCACCACAGAATCCCGATAACTTTCCTGGACCGATTCCAGTGGATGAGGATTCACAGGATGCACAACAAGTCGACGAAACTTCTTACACCGACAGGAGCATACGACACAGCGACCGACAGGAAGCTCAAAAAACCCTGGTCGGGGAAGAATAAGGAGTTAGTCTTCATGATATTTTCGAAATGTTGCAGGCACAACAATTGGACATTGCCTAATTGCAAAGCCATCCGAAGACTCCCAGCACAGCAGCACCAGAGACAGCTCCCCCACCGAGCAAGTACTTGAAAGGTCAAGCAATAATGGGTCAGTGGTCGACCTTTCCATAGTGAAGATGCTCGAGGACCTCACCAAAAGGATCGAATCGGGTGAGAAAATGATTGCATCCAAGGATAAAAAGGTTGAGACCTACAACTCCAGGGTCGATCAGATCTCGGGTGCGCCCCCGATCCTCAAGGGTTTGGATTCGAAGAAGTTCGTACAAAGGTCGTTCCCCGAGGAAACGGACCCGAAGCCCATTCCAAAAAAGTTCAGAATGCTGGAACTCCCTAAGTACAACAGTACCACCGACCCTAATGAACACTTTACTACCTACACCTGCACAGTAAAAGGCAACGATATAAAGAATGAAGATATCGAGTCCATATTGGTGAAAAAATTCGGAGAAACGCTTTCGAAAGGGGCAATGATGTAGTATCACAACTTGGCTCCCAACTCCATAGATTCGTTCGCCATGCTAGCAGACTCCTTTGTAAAGGCACATGCTGGAGCCATCAAGGTGGCAACAAGGAAGTCTGACTTTTTGAAAATCAAGCAAAGAGAGAACGAGATGCTGCGAGAATTCGTGTACCGCTTCCAGATGGAACGGATGGAGCTACGGCCAGTCTCCGATGACTGGGTAGTGCAGGCCTTCACCCAAGGCCTGAACGAAAGATGCTCAATGGCTTCGAAATAGCTGAAGCAGAACCTTATTGAATATCTGGCAGTGACCTGGACGGACGTCCACAACCGATATCAGTCAAAGATCAGAGCCGAGGATGACCACCTGGGGGCCCCTTCGGGCTCAGTGTACCCAAATAGGCTCCTGGCAAAAAGATCGAAACCAAACAAAGAAAGGTACCGGCCGTACCTCGAATACAGAAGAAACTCCCCAAGGCGCAACCTACCTCGCAATGATCGGAGGATAGATCGAGGACAGGACTCTCGAGGGCTTATCAACAGAACCATGTTCGATCAAAACATAGTTCCAACAAACGCGCCCCACCTTTCGGAATACAACTTCAGCGTCGATGTGTCATACATCGTGTTCGCTATCAGATAGATCAGAGAAGCCAAGTGGCCCAAACCGATATAGTCGGACCCTTCGCAGATAAATTACAACTTAGTATGCGAGTTCCACAACATGCATAGTCACAGGACCGAGGATTGCCATCAACTACGAGAGGAGGTGGCTCGACTACTCAACAAAGGACATCCTCGGGAGTTCCTTAGCGATCGGGACAAAAATCAGTTCCGAGAAATGGAGGCAACCAAGAAAAACGAGGCAAACGAGCCGCAACACGTCATCCACATGATCATGGGGGGCGCCGATGCCCCGAAGGAACCCGTGATGGGAAGCACAAAAATATCCATCACCAGAGAAAAATGGACTCGAGGATATATCCCTGAAGACGCCCTCACGTTCAAGGAAGAGGACACCGAGGCCCTGTCTCGACCCCACAACGATGCCCTGGTAATCTCCTTTCTTGTAAATTCTTTTCAGATAAATCATGTACTCGTGGATCCAAGTAGCTCGGCAAATATTATCAAGTCAAGGGTGATAGAACAGCTCGGACTGCTCAAACAAATTGTGCCCGCCACTCGAGTCCTCAATGGATTCAACATGGCGGCGAAACGACGAAAGGAGAAATAGTCCTTCCGGTTACCGTGGTCGGCACATCCCAAGACACTAAATTCCTTGTCTTTGAGGGAGATATGAGGTATAACGCCTTATTTGGGCGGCCATGGATACAGTGCATGAGAGCAGTAGCATCCACCCTCGTGAACAGGATCAAAATCATCTAAGGGGAACAACACATGGCAAGGGAAATGTTCGCAATACACGTCGTGGTACCAATGCTCATGCCTTTGCCCCCAAATAAACCAACAAGCAAATCGGGACTCGCCCCCAGTCGAGCTTGACAAAACAAAGTAGAGATCCACGTCGCGTCTCCGCCCCCGGGCAGTTATAATGGACAAATCTCGAGGCATCGCCAACATATCTATCTTCAAGGTACGACCAACCCTTTTTTATTTCGAATTTGGAATTAACCTTCGTGCAGGCACCCGATGGGAGCTGCCGGAACGCTAGTGCTATCGCAAGACCTCAAGGTTCCAAAATCGCACCCATTGCACTCTTTTCCTTCAAAGTTTTTATCCCACAAGAAGGGTTTTTACCGGCAAGGTTTTTAACGAGGAAACATTTGCGAGCCGCCTAAAGGGGAACTCCGCAAAAACATTCAAGACTTTCCTTGCGGCCGACTTTTGAATAAGTGAGGAGCACTCGCCCAGAAAGCTGCCCGCTCGTAGGAGTTTTGGAAATGCCAAATAAGTTTCCTATAGGAAAATAATGTATCAGACCGAACGGCCGATATAGTCAAGCCCAGACGGCAAAGGCATGTACTATTGTATCGAGCAATCAAAAAATACCTTTTTGTCAAAAAAAGGAGGGGGGGGGGACTCCTTCTCAGAGTAGGGTAAAAAATTCTTTCACCAGAAACGTCCCGAAAACTCGAGAACGGATGCCAGCAGTTCAAATGCTCAGATGGCCTCCGGATCAAAGCTCTGTAGTCACAAAAACTTCAAGCAAGGAAAATCTCCGGGCGATCGAATTCGACCTAGTATAGACCGACTCAACACAACATTATATGTTACGTCAATGGATCGAAGAATATCCTTCAAGCATCTCATTCTCCAAACAAGGAAATCGCAATGTACTCTCGGTAGGAACCCTTCCACCGAATGCATCCAGAAAATGCCCGGGACTTAGCATCAACAATTTGTTACCCGCACGACCCCAGGGTCAGAACTCCAGACTCATGAAGCATAGCAAGGTAACTCCGAGATCACAAATAGCGGCCTTTGAGCCAAATAGTGGCCTTCGAGCCTAAGCGAATTCAATAACTCGGAGACTGTCGCCAATCGCCATGCACTGGAAAACCCGAAACTATATGACCCTGAGCGGGCAGACTCGGTGTAACTAGATCTATTCTACAAAGCAACACAAATTGTAAGACCTAAATAGGCATGACAAACTGTAAGACCTCAATAGTCATGACAAACTGTAAGACCTCAACAGTCATGACAAACTGTAAGACCTCAACAGGCATGAAATTAAAATCCCGAAGTTTAGGCTATACGTCGCATTTGTAAGAGTATCGAAAGGCATACCCTCGGTGTAGTCACCTAAACTATCACTCGGGATCAAAAAATGGCTCCGACCAAACGCATAAGACTATGGTAAAAACGACTGATACAACCAAATTAACATGACTCGTGGATGCCCGACCGTCGCTAAATAAAAATTGCAGGCCACTACTTCGAATATACTTCAGATAGAACTGGTTAAAACAGTCTTCCCTCAACAGGCAAAAACGAGCTTCGACCATGTCAGCTCAAAATCACAAGGCTTCAACCTACTCAGCCTACGAGCTATGAACCTTTCGAGGTGCTCAAACATCGCCGCTAACGACTTGAGATCGAGGTTTTTCCCGAACCGACGACGGGTCAAGCAAAATTATTTCAAAAAGACCTTAACGAGCGGAAAACAAAGCCTACACAAAGCCCATGGGCAAAAAGCGTAAGAGACATTGTCGCCAACCGAACGAGCCTCCAGGACGCATACTAAAAGGTCTCAACAACCAAACAGCGTAAGAGCCACTGTCGCCAACTTGAAATTGACAAATTGAGGATTAAAATAAGCTTGAGTCGTAACCCGATTCGGAGACCGAATCCAAAATAGTTAACTGTACCAGCCTCCGGGCCACATATTAAAAGGTCTCAATGACCAAAACAATGTAAGAGCTTCTCTCGCCGGTCTGAAAATCGAAAGAACTTAAGGGTCAATTAAAGCTCGAATCGCAACGCTACTCGGAGACCGGACCCGAAATAGTTGAAACATCAAACGCCCGAGGGAGAGAAATAAAGGCCACTATCGTCTGCCCATGCAGGCAGGAAAGAACTTAAGGGCCAATTAAAGCTCAAATCGCAACGCAACTCGGAGACTGGACCCGAAATAGTTGAAGCAACAAATGCCCGAGGGCGAGAAATAAAGGCCACCGTCATCTGCCCATGCAGGAAGAAAAGAACTTAAGGGTCAATTATAGTTTGTATCGCAATGGGACTCGAAGACTGGACCCAAAATAGTTGAAACAGCGAATGCCCAAGGGAAAGAAATGAGAACAATCACTATCTGTCCGTACGGTCACAGAAGATTGAAGGCCAGGCAAGCTCAAGTCAAGGCGTGACTCGGAGACTGAGCCTAAATAGCTGGGCAAAGCACAGAGGCCCCAATGCCTCCTCACATTAAAGACTGCACTTAAAAACCTCCGGGCCTGCCTAATTAGTTACGGACCTACGGGGCTCCCGCCAAACACGGAAACTAGCCTGCCTGGTCAAAAACAATACGGGAAGAGAAACAAAGGAGGTAAAGCTTCAAGATTTCTCTCATTTTATATATGCACGAAAGGTGCGCTCTCCATCTACAGGCATGCTCTACAAATAGCAAATACAAAGTGGCAAAATCTAAGCTTCACCCCAAAATGTTACGGCCTACCAGCCCCAACCTCGCTCTCCGTGGCATCGGCAATAAGCAACTGAGCATCACGTTCGACCACCTTCGCTCAAGCAAATCCTTTTATAAGGACGAAACCCCTGGCGTAGGTCTCTCTAAGCGCCTATCCTAAGATCTACAATGAATGTGTCCCTCGTTACTCTTCTCACGATCGAGGGCCCACTCCAACTCGACTTGGAGATCAGCGACATCCTTTGAACAGGTCACCACTCCTTCATCATCCTCGGTCCGATTCGGTACTATACTAGTCGGGGCATCGGTTATTCTCTACCCGGACTTTTGAGGAATCAAGCTACACTTCACTATCATGTCCACTTAGATCGAAGCTCAAGCCTGCATTTGATACTTCAGTTCACCACAGGCATTCTTGGCTCGATCGGCTCTGCCCCTAAGGTACTCCTAAGCCTTCGCCTTTTCTCTGCAGCTAAAAAATAAGCAAAGTCTAAACTCAAAGGTTGAAAAGGTGAAACACTTACCACAAGAAGGCTCCTGCCTCATCAAAAGGCTTCTCTAATGCGAGCTCTGATATGTACCGAAATGCCAGAACACCGACTCGACACCTCCTTCTCTTCGCCAAGAAGCCTAAGGAGCCTACCCTCATCCAGGGCCCCCCGAAGTATAGCCCATTGGCGGAGCAGCTCAAAGCCTGGGTCTATCGTAGTCTTACGGAGGGAAAACCTGATAATAAAGGGAAGATCCGAGATATGGAGGAATCATGTTGAAACTCACCATGAAGTGAAGCCGACAAACCTACTCGACAGCCGAGCACACTCCTGGTAGACCAACCCTTTTGGCTCGAAAGAACTGCTGCTCTGGAACCAAGGACTTCAGGAACATCAGGCTCGAATGATGCACTCTCCTCAGAAGCACGAGCCCGTCTCGCCCCTGTAAAAGCTCCATCATGTTATGAAGTGCACATCTCATTTATCACTATACCCGGTCTCTGCCGTTCCCCGAATAAACAGCCGCTAAGGGCATGGCCCACTGGCACCATGGAATCAACAAAACCTGAGGACCCCTAGAAAGTGAAAGCAGCATCACGTTACATGTGGGTGGGGCTGCAACGATTCAACGCCAACCAAAGGCACCAACTAGTTTCGAGGTAATGCTCAACCCCGAAGACCTCCGTCATAGCAAGACAGTGCTCCTGAAGGCCAACAATTCCTTCACCAACACAAGATTGGCATATAGCTTCAAAGGCCTCCGCCAAAGAAGACTAGTTTGCGAAGAAATGGGCATCTCTAACAAACACCCGTGCAAAATATGCTCCAGGTGATGACCATGATGGCCTGAAGCACGGCCAGGCCTCCGATCAGAGATCGCCTTCAGAAAGTCATCGGCGTCCTAGGACCGCGAATCCTCAGGCATGTTTCTTCTCGAAGGTTATTATGCGGCCCGAAGATATTATCCACGCTTTCACGCAAAGAAAGGGTCCCGGCGACCCGAGGATATTGGCCTTATACGGGTTCAGTTCGAGAAGTCACGAAGGACCCCGCGCGAAGCCTTTTTATCAACCAAAGGTCGGGAAGAATACTCGTGCTCAAGGTCGGTATCACAGGCGATAAAACAAGATCATGCATTCGGATCTACCAAAAATATAAAGAGATACAGCAAGTGTCGAAGGAAGGAATCAAGAAAATATCTTTGTATTTATAAATGTGATTGCTTACAACGACCCTCGAGGGGTCCTTACATATGATTACTAAAGCCCACAGGGGGGTCCTTACATAAAAATAAAGAAGCACAAACTGTATGCATACAACAAGAGCCTAAGGATATAGCTTATTCCCTGAAATGCTGCATCTCCATCATCATCCTCTTAGGTGTATGACCTCAAAGACAATATCTTCCAAGTCCAATCCCCTCAGGGACCTCATCCTAATACTACCAAAATGGCATCCTCAAAAAGGAGGGTATAGAAAAGGAAGGCGGGGGAGAAGAGCAAAATGACGAAGGAGAAGCCGGAAGAAAACAAGAAGTGGCTGGGTGAAAAATTTGGCTAGTATGAACTCCGCCAGTACTACCATTTCGAAACCACTTTTTGAGATGTTACCTCGGCCCAGGAGGAAACAGCCAGTAGAGACCCCCGCCGTACCCCCAGGAATCCAAAAGGGATATAACACGCTGAGCTGAGGGAGGAGGGTGAGCAGCGGTGTATAATCCGAGCCCCCTCTTGAGCAGCGATGCATAATCCTCAAGTATCTCCCAGGGTCGGAGGAAATTAGCCCTCTGC